ACCTGTTGGTGCACTTGGTTGATATCATCGAAACCGATGGTCAGACACACACTATACACATACCAGTAATCCCTACAGAAGAATCGAAAACTCCCATTCGAACAACAGTTTAAGTGGAAACTACTGCAAGCACTTCCAAAGATAAAGCTTTGCCGAATCCTTACAATGAGCCGATGAAGAGCTGAAGTCCACTGCGTGGAGGAAGGAAAGGCAACTTTTCTCGGGATGAGATCAAGTGAACAGCCGGTTTGGATAGTTAATAAGAAGCATTCCACGAGGGGCTAACAACTAAGGTAGACCAAGCATCTCACGAGTTCTTCAGGTAAAGATACCTGGGGACCTTTGGCAAATTAAGTACTTAGAACTGAAACTATCCATTGAACGAGATAAAGAAGTCTACGATGATATGAACTTCCTTGGTCGAAAGTATGGACACCCTCGAGCTGACAAGAAGACTTGCGAAAACATTGCACGGGAGATTTTTATGTAAGAGAACAGGTGATGCCCGAATAGAGCATAAAAATGCATTGAATCAGATTCACTGGCGTCCTTGACGTTTGCGAGGTGCAGCCCGCATTATATTGTCCACACGGATAATCATTTCAGCTGCTTCAGACGCCGAGAGAACTATCTGTCGTTTTACGTTGTATGACTCGACAATTCCCAGTTTCTCAACGTCGGTCACAACGCCCTGTTCCATGTCTAAAGGAAATTGAAGAACAAACACATGAAACTACTTATAGAGGCATTGGGTGAGTGCATGTAGAAAGATACGAACACAAATCATGAGCCCTACCGCCCTATAAACCAAAATAGACCATTTTGAGGAAAATAACTTAGGCAAAGTGACGCACACACTCCAGGGTCCAGAATGGCAGTGAAAGCCACGAACCATGAAATATTGGACGCTAATGACTCCGAATCTACAATCTCGCGTGGCGACTGATTCAGATGGCGGAGTAAGCTTTCAATTTGCTGCAGTTCCAAACTTGAATTGTGAATAAAGCATAAGCATGCAGTCTAACCGGACTAAAAAATAATGTGACACCGCAATTAATGCCAGTTACATATGTACATCGGAGAAATCCCAAAATAGGAAAGACGTACCCAATCCCATTGTCTTCTGGCCTAAGGCGTGCGCAGCTCGCAGTTGAGCAACCAGTTCAGCGCTGTCGAAGCCACCGTTGTCTGCGATTATCCCAGGAATGCGGCGAAGGGCAGTTGCAAACGCCTCCATTGCCATTGCTATTTTGCCAGGGGTCTCTGCCGCCTTCTTAGCAACCGCATCAGCCATGAGCATTTCCGAAGCACCACCACCCAGCACTGTTTTCGGATCCTTTACAGTCTGTGCTAGCACGCAAAGAGCATCGTGAAGGGAACGCTCAGCCTCAGCCAGGATCGAGTTG